CTTCGGCTTGAGCGGAACCGGTCCATTTCTGGACCGGTTTGGCTCGGGTCAGCCCTGAGCTGGGCGGTTCAGTTTGGGCAGCCCACTAGTGGGTTTGGTTTGGTCCTTCGCTTGCTATAAGTAGGGATTAAGGGGGGATTTCTAGAGTTATGCAAGATTTGAGTTTTCTCTTAGCCTCCTTAGTTTCTTTCTCTTTTTTTTCTAGGGTTTGTAGTGGGAGACCTTGTCCTTCTCGAAGTGGACAAATTGTATCTTGTTTCTCTTGGATTTTGAATGCAAATGTTCTTGTTCTTCCTCTCATCCCTCTTGTGTTGATTTTTTTCTTGGATTTGTAGGAGAAATTTCATCTTGAAGGAAAATTAGGGAAAACCCTAATTTGTGAAACCTAAGGCGTATCAGAAATCCCACTCAGCTTTCCTTCCTATTCACGGCTAGACTCCTCACTTTTATCTTCATCTTAGCCTATCAAAATCTGAGAATTTCTCTCAGGTTTTCAGTAGAAATCTGAAGTTGTTTTCAGATTTTATGAGAAAAAGTGTGGAGCTTGCATCCTCTCGTCTATCAATGGAAACTTCTTTCTCTTTGTGACTATTCGAGAGACGCCTCTTATTTGCTTTGATGGAAGCCATGGACGAAGACTTCGAAGGCATCGAGTGGGGGACCGCCACCTCTCCTTAGCAAAAGTTTTCTCTTTTTTCACTTGCATTCAAATTCTTCTGAATCTAAGTTCTCAATTGGTTAGATTGTAATCGCGAAAGTCTCCTCCAAGTGCACTTGCTTAGCTTAGTAATTCGTAGGTTATTGAGTGTACTTTCTTTGCATCCTAAATTTCATTGTTAGACTAGGGATTAAATTGAAGACTACTATTTTGCATTGTTTCAATTGTCTTATTTATCTTGAAAATTTCAAAGCTTGGAGCATGTGATTTAACCTACGCAAAGCATCTCTTTATTTGTTTTAGTCGACGTTGAGAATTGCTAATAATTTTAATCCAAAATTATTCTAATCAAAGAGTTGTGCAATGCCTAAAATGAAGCCATAAGCATGTCATCTAAGTAGTCCTGCATCACAATGGGGCATTCCCAATGCATGAGACTCCTGCAAGCCAGATGGCCTTTAGGATACCTGATACATGCAATTTACCTCATCTTAGCATAAAATTTGTTTCTTATTCAAGATCTCTAACCTAATCATTGCAATCAAGCCCAACAAGTTCATTAAAGGACTTGAAATACATGTAAAAACTCAATTTATTACTTCCACATAAATGCAAAAGATGCATGTCAAGATATAACGTGATAACTAGATAATCAGCAAAAAGGATGAGTAATGAGCAAGCAAGCACTTCAGTCAAAAATTAGAAATCAATATTGCTTGTATGACAGTTTCGGGACATAACAAAATTTACTGATAATTATAGGAAATGAGTCAACCATAAATCACTAACTTTGAATGCAGGCTCAGCTTCTTCCTGGCCAGGCTTGTCAGATATTTCTATTACCAACTGCAAGAGATTGTAATGGGAGATAAGTTAATAACTGACCAAGAAGATATCTAAAATTTGTAACATTGAAGGATATCAGCTTTATTAATCCGTATACATATTGAAATTTTTACCAGAGGAAATCCCTTCACACTCTTCCCGATGCTGTTACAGCAGCGCAAGAACCACTCAAAGGGAGAAAAAAACAATGTCAGTTAAATTAGATGAATTCAAGAAGAACAGTGTTGCAATTAGAAATTTTGTGGTATGTCAATCATGAATTATTAAAAAACCATATAAAGCTCGTGCAAACTGATCCAATATCTAGTCAAACAATAGATTGCTAAAGAAACATGCTCATTACAGAAATGGTGTACCTTCACGTGGAAGAAACTAGCTGTTCTAGCTTCCGATCAAGTTTCAACCAAAGAAAGAAAATAAAATGAAAAGATAAATAACCACCAACGAAAAGTAAATATACCTATAAATATTGCAGATATGACCGCATCTTTGACCAATTTCTGAGATAGCCTCTTCAAGTGCAGCATTACTCATGTATCCATCAGAAAGAGATTCCCTATGACGCACATAAAAAACCTTGAGATCAAATCACTAGAAACGTAGCCCAACTGTTTCCAATTGTTTAAAAGAGAGAGAGAGAGAGAGAGAGAGAGAGACTAATCCCGTGAAAAACATACACTATTTGGGGTTGGGAGTCGTTGAGTAAATGCCGGCTGAATATGGTACTATCAATTTCCAAGAGGCCTAAAATAGGGAGAAAAAGGGAATACACTAAAAATAAATCAAAATAACTCATATCAAGTAAACTAAGAACAAGGAAATTATGCGACCAATAAATCTTGGGATGGCATCTAAAAAATAATGCATGCTATGAATGCAACTAATTTATGTTAGATACAGAATGCAGAAACAAGTAGAACAAAATTCAAATAGAAGAGCAAATATACAACAGTCAAATATAATCTTCGACTCTTCCTTCACACAACCAGAGGCACACTGGCAAATATGAGTTGACAAAAAATTCGAATCATATTCTACATTTTCCTTATTTAAAACTTCCACTATGCTCTGCGATTTGAATGCAACTAGGAGTCTAGGAACTTCTTCAGTCTCTAACTCTCTCTTAACCATCAAATCAGGATCTTCTCAATCACATTCTACAGGTTAAAGTCCCATTTGTTGTTAAGCTATGCTCTTATATTCTAATTTCTGCACGTAGTTGGTATCTTGCTCACGCTTTCAGGCATACACTCGCCAACGTATTCATTACATCTACTAATCTGTCTGAGAAAATATTTTAACAGGATTGAGTCTAGGCTCCTTTTTGTAAGCCTCTCTTTTTGGTATATTAATATACGGGCGAAGCCCCCAATTTTTCCCAAAAAAAAAATATTAGAAAAGTCGAAATGCTGAAACAAGACAGACAATTTGTTCTGATTATATGTGCCGAAAAGTTATGGAGTAAAGACGTTAAATCAGCTTCCAGAATTAGTATATTTTTAATCTTTCCATTCCGTACACCCCCATTCGATCTTTTAGGTTTGGCTTCAAAACTAAATCACAGAAAACTAACAAACCCTAAGAAGAATTCAATAACTATGTTAGCGGCGCTGCGAATTAGATTCAAATATTAAAACGGCGAATAACGTGTAATTGATACCGCCCCTGCGAAATGTGTTGGATCGCCGAAGAATCGAGTGGATCAATGTGGAACTAGTTACCTGAAGACTTGGATCCCAGTTTTCCGCCTCTTTCGAGCGCGGCTATTGGAGCGGATAAGAAAGCGACGACAGAGATCACTAGGAGAAGGAGCTTGAAGAGCTCCATCGCCAATCTCGTCGCTTCTCGCCGTAAAACGCCCTCTCACGCTCGGGGAACACCGGGCCCGAAATAAACGCGTCGGGTTGGGTCTGGTTTCCGTGCCCGTTTAATAAAAGATTTGGGTTTTGGTTGACCTTGGCCCAAAAATGATTTTTTTTTTTCTTTATACATGTTTCTAATATTTTTATTTTTATCAAATATCTAGAATTATTAGTTAATAAGTCATTAGAAAATTTTAACCAATATGGGTTAACTATTCCAATTCGGGTCATTTGGTTTGCTTGTAGGTAGGATCCGAGTTTACTTTTTTACCCATTTATTAAACAAGTAGAGTTCAAATTTACTGATTTAGGATCTTATCAATTTAAGTCAAACTTTAACCTGACCCATCAACCTATTTTAACACCTCTAGCATGAAAAATATAAAAGAGTACCTCAACATAGATAAATCTTAAAAGTAAACCTCAAAGAAAATTGTTTGAAATTTACTTGCATAATGTATAATAAATTTTAATATAAATTTACTTGACACTCTAATTTATAATAATAATTGATATGTCATCACAAAATTATCTTGATCGGGCACGAATCTCGAGGCAATAGCTAGTTGGAAACTTCAAAAAATAATTTTGGGAGCACCGGAACTCCAATTTCAGCGAGCTTATAGTCAAACTGAGCGTCTCGGAAATACGAACCCAACGACACCAAGATCAACCTAATCTGAGCCCAAATGAGTCTGAATCAAGGGCTCAAAGCGTTGTTGTAAGGTTCAAACCGCAATTTGAGTTACCAAACGGTCTCCGATTTTGACGAGCTTATACTTGAATCGAACGGCTCGACGAGACGAATCCAACGATCCCAAGATCGATGAATTCCGACATCATTAAGGCCTTCAAACGCCCAACAAACTGTGCATGATCAAAGGATTCGATGTCGGTTGTCCATTCAAAACACTCCCAATTCGCCCCTGATCTCATGCCTATTTACAAGCTATGCCACTCCAGAAAACTATAAATAGAGCCCTCATTCTACACCAAAGGGGCTCAAGTGATGAGAGAGAAGAAGAAGAAGAGGAGAAAGGGGAAAAGGAGATTCCTCAACTCCTCGACCACCGCCGGAGCTCTTCCTACCGCTTGAAGACGCCGGAACTCTGCCCGATTTTCAGGAAACGCAAGAATTCTGCACAACTTCCACGTGATGTTGAAATCCTTTCCAATTAATAACAGAGTTCCCTCTTAACGCCAAAACTCCGCCCAAGTGAAGCCGGATTTCTCCTCTGCCACCAACAGACGTCGGACTTCTTCCCGACTTCGAACCTTCACTCTCCGCCAAGTTTTTACCCGACGCCGGACTTCTGCCAGATATCGGACTCCTCTAGAAGTCTATGCGAATATGGATTTCTTTCTATGGTTGGACTTCTACCTAACGTCGTTCTTCTGACCTTCATCGTCAGACACGGTCTTTCCAACCTCCCTCGCAAGGCAACTACAGACTTTCCGACCTCCGTCGCCCGCCGACTACGGTCCTCCTGACTTATGTCGCCCGCCGACTACAATCTTTCCGACCTCTGTCGCCCGCCGACTGCAGTCCTTCTGACCTCCGTCGCCAGCCGACTACGGTCCTCCTAGCTTACGTCGACCGCCGACTACAAGCCTTACGACCTCCGTCGCTCGCCGACTACGGTCCTCCCGACCAAACGAACATGTCAATAGTGATTATTTGTATTTGCATCATGTAATGTACTCTATAAGATGTACATCAAGCTAAGGCCTTCTCCCAAGGAAGGGCCTCATTTGTAATCGACTGCAAATACTAGTGGATTCGTTCAAACTGGGCTAGGCCCCGTGGGTTTTCCCCCTTTTCAGGGGTTTTTCACATAAAAATCTTGGTGTCTCATAAATTTTAGACCCTCTCTCTCTTATCTGATTGTGTGCCGGATTTTCGTACAACGCTAAGACGATAAATTTTATATTTCTCTACCGCCGCGAATACTCCTGGACGCAACAATAATAATTCTTTAAAATACAAATATCAGCTTTAAACCTTTATCTTTTTGCTATAATCATGAATGTTTTTACTAGACAGTTGCAAGAGAATATAACTTTTTGGATATTTTTGGCTTATGATAATATTCTTTTGATAAGATGAGAGAGGATATTAAGTCGTTTAAAAGAGTACGCATTTAAAAATCTCAGGTCTATTGCTCGAAGTGATAGTGAAATAGATAAGGATATTATTAGTAAAATTCAAGTTGGTTGGTTGAAGTTTGTGAATGCATCAGACATGTTGTGTGACAAAAAAAATTACCCTTAAAACTTAAGATAACATTAATATATAAGATGGGAGTGAGAACTACAATACTTTTATGGAACAAAATGTCGGCCATTAAAAGAGAAGCATAAAATTAAGCATTGCAAGGATCAGAATGCACAAGTGAGCGATTGGCTTCATTCTTTGAGACATAATATGAAACAAGTATACACATGAAACTGTTGGAGTAGCTCCAATGATAGATAAGATTATAGATAGTCGCCTTTGATGATTTGATCACATAAAACATTGGCCTTCCGAGGACCCAATTAGGATAGTAGATGTTTGCCTATGTTAAAAAAAAGTTGAGGTAGACTTATAAAGATTTGGTTAAGATGTGTTAGAAATTAATATTTTTATTGGATTTAAATGATAATTTGATTATTAATTGAACACAATAGAGAAAAAGATTTATATAGTCCATCCCATGTAGTAGGATAAATGATTGATATTGTTGTATTATTATTTTTTAAATAAAAAAAACATCTTTTATTTTTAATATATTAATGATAATTAAACCGATTTATGAAAATATAAGATAATACCTGAATGTGAAAAAACATAAAGAATAATCTACTAAGTATTAAAAAAAACTATAAAAAATATAAAGTATAATATCTACAGCAAAGAAAATTTAAAATACGGGCTCGTTTTTTTTTTTTTTTTTTTTGGGTCATTTAAGACAAATTCACACACACAACGCATACACATATATAGACTCGAACCCTGAACCTCTTAGTTGGAAGCCTAAGCTCTCAACCAATAGTCCAAGGAGAGTTGTGTGGGCTGGATTATTAAGGCAAGGTATGCCAAAAAAAATCTCAAAAAAAAGACGGAAGAGTAAAAAGAGGTCTCAATTGCAATTATGAGGAAGTGACGGCTTAGTGTGTCACAATCTAATCATTAAGACTTCGTTTGGTTATGTGATACTTTTAAAAAAATTAGTTTTAAGAAATATCGGCTTAAAAAAATAGATTTTTAACGGAGAAGCATATATAAAAGCTTTTTTAAAGCATTAGAAAAATGAAAAAAATGATGTTATTAAGAACGTGGTTTAAAGAATCAAACAATAAATTTACCGTTTTAAAAATGAATAAGCAGAAAAAAACATTCAATAAAACTAGGCGTAAGACTCATTGATGGGATAGGTTATATTGTATTGACTTGTGATAGGATAATCCAATGTCTGATTTTGAAAATATTTCAAAAAAATTTCTTCCAATTTAAAATTTATATAACAAATTAGTGAGTTATTAAAATATTTAAGCACCAAAAATAAGTTTATCCATAAGATTTCTTTATATATGACTACAAACAAAAGACCAAAAGTTATATAATTGAATAATAAACTAGTTATTATTGCACAAAAATACACAAAAGAAATACCTATCAACTATGATCATATCATAAACTACTAATCAACCAACTCTTTTTTTTCCTTAGATCCTGAAAATTATAAAAAAAATCACAGTGAGCTAGAACAGCTAACATGTCAGAAACATCGATCTAAATATTCTAAATTTTTTTATTAAATATTTTTAAAATATTTAAATGCAGTTAAAAGCAGTGTTAAAAATTATTAATGTATTAGGCAAAATAATTATTTACATTCAAATAATAATATTGAATAGATAATTAAAATTGAAATTTATATCACAGAATAGTTATTATCATATTTTTTAACTACCAAATAGAACTTAAAAGATTATGGATCCTTATAGCTCCCAACATCATTCTCTCATTTGGATATGATGGAGCTCGTTCTTGAGCTGCATCACGCGAGATTGGCTAGACGGTTGTAAGCGACGCTCGAGAGTCGTCCAGACGTCTTGAGCTGACGTCGTCGTGATGACATACGGCAGCAGTGAAGGAGAGATTGTGGAAAAGAAGGCTGATAGGAGAGTGCTGTCCACGAGAGTCCAATTTGTATAAGCAGAAGTATTGGCTTCGGGCGGCGACGATGAGTTACCGGAAAGATGTCCGGCATATCCTGTTGCAGTAAACTGTTGAAGGATTTGGATCCTCCATATGGCATAATTTTCGGAGGTTAGAGGATGAGGGATCAGATTCTTGATATTAGAAACCAGGAACTTCAGAGATGCCGGAATAGAGATCTCGGCACTGGTGGTTCCGGCGAGAGAAGAGGAGGGAGGGAGGGAAGAAGTTGAATCTTAATCCCCCATTAGGCTCTTGATACCATGTGAGAGAAGCGAAGCTTCTTGGAACGGAACAGAGAGCTAGCCAGAGATATGCGTATTTGGAGGATAGAAAATATAAATCTTATTATTGAAAACTGTGTACAAAGGAATTTATAAACGTTAAGACATGAGTAAAAGCGTAATATTATGTATACAAATGAGTAAATATATAGATGCTCTGTCATATACCTCCAAACTTACATTTTCTTTTGTGTTTTTTTCATATTAAAATTTTCAATCACAAAAAGAATTTCAAAAAATTCTAGCTCCTTATATCTCTCAACATACAAATTTATTTCATATTATATGATTCAATCATATAAATGCATATTTCATCATATTGCAGCAAATAAAATATAATTGAGCATAATTTATAATTGCACAATTTTCTATAGCCGTAGGCAATAAAAATCTTACTAAGAAAAAAGGTACATTTTCAATAATATAATCAAAATTATCAAAGAGCATTCAATATATTATTTTAAGATTTTAATTGTAATACTATGTTATTTTTCAACATCCACATACTTTTTCTATTCAATAAAATCTCCACAAATTTCAAAACTTTTATAAAGATTTTA